GCATCGTCCCCGACGCCATCTGGCGGCTGGACGAGGGGACCAAGGAGCGGCTCAACGGGCAGCTGAGGGTCGAGGCGGAGGCGATCGAGGCGCTCAAGGGCGTCGTGGGGGATGACGGCCTGCCGATTGCCGTCCCTATGCTGGCCTTCGGCGCCGTGGGGGCCGACGGCTGACGATCGGTGGCCCTTATGGACGATGCATGGCACAACTACCGTGAGGCGGGCTATGAGGGGGAGCGGCCGTCGACGCCAAACAGGAGGGTGCAGGCCCTCATCGAGGGCTACGTGATGATATCGGAATACGCCGGTATGGATGGGCTGCACATGACAGGGGGGGGACACGTGTGTCTGTCTGCATGTGTGTGTGTCTGCCTTCTCTGTTGATTTCTCCCACTCAGCGATGTTGACGGAGGCCGACCGCATGACGTTGGAGCAACAGCAGCCACCACCCGCCCTGCCGTCGCCGCCAGCAGAGCCGTCACCGCCGTCGCCAGCGACGGAGAAACCGACTCCCTCCGCAGCGCCTGACCCCCAGGGTAAGACAATCCGCCGGACAGCCAGACGTTCATGCCGGCGACAGCCCATCTCTTTCTCTTTGTGTGTGTGTGTGTGGGTGTCCGATACGTCTCAGTTGACGAGAAGTGGGAGCAGTTCATGGCGGAGCATGAGCGGCTGATGGGCGTCCTCGAGGGGTCGCCGCTGATCAACTTCCTCTTCTCCGACGCGCCGCAGGAGGAAGAGGCCGACGTCGGCGACAGTGGCGATGAGGCCGACGAGAAGCGCGAGATCGAGTCGCCCCCACAGCCGGCCGAGGTGTGGGACGGGGCGGTCACCCTCCTCGACTTGTTCCACATCCGCGCCGGCTGGGTGCGCAACCCATCCACGCCCAAGGCCACCAGACGCCGTCTGCAGCTCATCCACCAGACGCTGCGCCGCCTGCAGCTGTCACCGGAGGCCCATCGACGTCTGGTCATCTCAGCGCTGTCGTCCCTGGCTGCCATGCACGCGGCTGACTGGGTCCACGGCGATACCAACGGCCAGAACGTTCTGGTCGTTTGGGACGCCGTCGCCCGCCGGCTGTGCAGCCAGTGGATCGACTTCGAGATGGCCAGACGTCAGGCGGAGACGCAGCAGCCGCTCCCCTCGCTGCCCCAGACCAAATTTGACGTCAAGCCCGCCCCCGTCCCGGCCCCCCACTGCGACCCGGAAGCGCTGAAGAAGGTCGCCGACACGATGGATGCCATCATCAACCGCGACAGCACCAGCCGACGGACGACCGAGGCGCCGCCCCCCACCCTGTTCGGCCCCGTCAGCAAGACCGCAGACATCTATACGGTGTGCTCCCTGGGGGCGGCCCTCCTGATGGCGCCACACATGAACCACCCGGCCGGCAGCAACCACAACTCCGAGATCTACGACGAGGCCGGTCCATTCTTCACCAGCGATGCCCACGGCACGCCCCTGTACGAGAAGCACTTCGCCAGCAAGGTGCAGAGGGAGACCGCGGCCATCAAGCGGGTCATCGACGGAGGTGCCCACCCCAGCGCCGCCGTGCAGGCGATCTCGAGAGAGAGGCACGTCGAGCGCTACCAGTGGCTGCGCAGTGCGGTGGAGAGGCGGTTGCGGTGGGAGCGGCAGCGGGGCGAGGGGGCGAGCCTGGAGGCCATCGAGG